TTCTGTCTCTCTGTCTCTCTCTGTCTTTCTGACGAGCGCACATGCCCTATAGCAAAGACCTCTCTGAAAAAAGAAAAAGAAAAGAAAAAAAGAAAGCATCTCAATGGGGAATGGTCCTACTATGATCCCTACTCCTCTATTTCTCCCTCCAGTTGGGATTTTTGGGCACTCACACACGTGTGCCCACTGTTTTTCTTTTTCTTTCTTGTTGAGAGAGATTTTTGCTACAGGACGTGTGCGTTCACCAGAGAGACAGAAAGAAGAAATCACCTCCCCCAGGGGGGAATGGCCATATGCAAACCCTTCTCCTCTATTGTCCTCTTTGGATCTTGGGTGCACACATACATGTGTCCAGCATGAGTCTTAGGTGGCTGGGTCCAGGACTGGAACCATGATCAACTATGTGGGAGTCCAGCAATGTAACCATTATGCCTTCTGCTGGTTCCCCACTGTGTTTTACAATCTGCTGGGTCCAGGACTCCAACCATGTGGTCAGCCATGTGGGATCTAGGCTGAAGACTAGCCCTTTTCACTTATTATGTTTTCACTTTCTTTGTAGGTTGACAGTTTAAAATGTAAATGAGTACTATAAATTAAAGGTAAAAAATTAGGAATATGGGCAAATATTGATAAAGGCAAGACTGTAACTCTGGGGAATGTAGAATATCAAATCACTGAAGGGATGAGAGAAAAGAAGAAGCCCATGCCATTGACACTGTACCTGTCTGCATTACTGCACAGTGCCCAGACACACAAACGTGATAAAGGCGCTGTTACGGGAAGGCTCAGACTACTGAAGGTAATTTCAATGTGGCTAAATCACCTCTCTAAACACTATAGGAAGCATTCTTAATATGGAAAAAAAGAAAAAAAGAAAAAACTTCCAGGTCAGCAGCAGGCCCCAGTTTCATTGTTCCTGTATCTAATCCCATTTGCACCTCACAGTGCATATTATTTCCGAAGCACTGCACTCAGTTATGATTCAACCCACCCGCTGATTTCTACTACAGTGAATCCAAACCAGTAGTTTTAAAGACATTCTTCAGGGATCACCCTAATATATCCCAAAGCAGAAAACACGCAAGTTTCTTAACTGGATCCCACATGGCCAACTCTGCTGTTGGAGATACTTTCTGTTTTTCTCTCACTTCTCTCTACTCTAGAAGAGATAAAAATAAATAAATAAGACAAAACAAAACAAAAACCTGGGCTTAATTTCAAATACAATAAGGAGAAGTGGGAATTTATACCCAAGCAACGGAATAGGGGTCAGTGGACACCAAATTACTAAAATGAATCATTGAGGTAATTGGGAAACCCTGGTCTAACTGACCTAATAGGATTCTAGTAGAAGACAATCCTGGATGATTAGAAATCACCTGGGAGGTGTTAGATGATGAGGAACCCCTGAAGTGATAGGAGGTGGAAGAGAATAGGTTCTTGCTAATCCAATTTACCAAGGTTATGGCTAAAACTACACTCTAAAAGACCAGCACAGAAGCCCAGGATTTTGACAACTAGTCAAAAAGAAAGCCTGAATATACCTGATTAGAGTTTCATTAATGAGAGAAACTCTGTCAGTCACTGATCTTGTGCATACTAAATAAGTTAATTAATTATAAAAAAAGGAACTTGGTACATTTTTAATTTTAGTATGCCCAAAAGTATGGCCAATAATGACATTTTAAAATGAAGATGTTCAAACTAGTAATTTCAAAGATAAGAGCAATGAAGATGTTCTGCTGAGAATCTATCTTGGAAAAAAAAAAAGGCAGGACAGAAGAAGACTGAGTACTCCATGAAGGCTGAGATTTAGTGATTTCAGAGATAAGAGCAATGAAGATGTTCTACTGAGAATCTACCCTGGTAGAGCCCCTGTCTCCTTTGTCTCTTTCTCTCTGTCTCTTTCTGCCTTTCTGTCTCTGTCTTTTCATTTTTTTTCAAATCTTTCTTTGTTTTAAATTTAAGGTGGAGTTTTTTCTAGGTTCTAAAATCCTCCTTTATCTTGGTAATAATCCTCTCCTCTCCCTTCCTCCCATCTAGGCAAAAAACAAAAAGGCAGGCTAGAAGACTGAGTCTGCCATGAAAGCTGTTTTCATCTTTTTGCTTTTTATAATTAACAAATATTTTGTTTGCTTTATTCATTTCTCTCTTTTTTTTCTTTCTTTCTGTTTTCTTATCCTTTTTCTTTTACCTCATCACTTTGTTGCTCAGCTTCCACCTACTGAGTGTCTAGACAAGTCAATGAAAAGTTGCCAAATCTGAATACTATTTGAGTCCTCATATTCCTCAACTCTCACTGAATCTGTGTCACAAAGGGAGGAAAATGCAATGCCAAAGAATTTGCAGACCATGTCCTCCTGTGCGCCTCTGATCACTCAGATTGATCTTCTAGAATTTAGGAAGAAATCTGGGACCAGCAGGTGGTGTGGTGGTTAAGGCGCTGGACACTCCCACATGGCCAACCGGGGTTCAAGTCCTGAATCTGGTGGCTTGCTTTGTCACTTTCTCTCACTCTCACCCTCTGTCTCTCTCTGGTCAAATTAAAATAAATAAATAAATGAATGAATAAATAAAAAATAAAAAAATAAATAATTATTAAAAAAAAAATTTAGGAAGAAATTTATTTCATACATTTCCAAAATCTGTTAAGTCTAAGACCAAGGTGCCAGCAAATGTAATGTCTGGTAAGGACCCTCTTCCTCATAAATGAATGTCCTTTCTTTGTAACCTCAGATGGTGGAAGTGGCAAACAAGCTTCCACTAACACCTTTGATAAGGCCAGAAATTCCATCTGAATATTCTGATCTCATGACTTCACCACTGTCCAAAGGGTCCTGCTTAATATTTTCATATTAAAATTTAAATTTCAACACATATTATGGAGGAACATAAACATCCTGATAATAGCAATTTCTTACAAGTTAAGATTTAGAGTTGAAAAAGTGACAATTATCCTCGTTAACTAATAGTGTTTTTAACCTGCAGTAGTCTTATTTATTTTAGACAACATGATGGTAAATTGCAAACATAATGATCTAAGAAAGTGATGTTAGGTAGTGATGTTAGATAGGTCTATAATTCCATTTTTTTTTTTAAATTGAAGGTTATACCCTATTACCTGTTGAACACCCTAATCTCAAAATTCAAAATGTTCCACAACCTGAAACTTTTTAAAGATTGACATGATGCCATGAGTGAAAAATCTGACACCTGGCCTTGTGTGATGGGTCACAATAAAAAGTCCACATTACAAAAATATTACATAGAATTACCACCAGGCTTTGTGTGTTTATGAAACATAAATGTGTTTCACATTTATACTTAGGTCCCATCCCTAAGATACCTCATCATGTGTATGCTCATGTTCCAAACTCCCACAAATAAATCTCAAAATCTGGAACCAACAGAGGGCATATTGGTTACATCACTGGATTCCCACATAGTCGACTGCAGTTCGAGACCTAGATCCTGTGGCTTAAAATTCATGCCAGGCACACGTGTGTGCATGCCCAAAGTCCCAAAAGGAGACTGTAGGAGAAGAGATTGTGGCATGGCTATCTCCTCTGGGGGATAATTTCTCACTTTTTGTATCTGTCCCTCTGGCGAGTATATGCGCCCTGTGGCAAAAATCTCTCTTAAAAAAAAAAAAAAATCTGGAGCCTCTTGTCTCACAAGCATATTGGATAAGTAATTCTCCACCTGTAGTGAGCCAAGAGTCAATTTAACTGCGTGTAATAGATACTAATGGACACTTACGTTTGTTTCTTTTATTGTCAAAGTCAAATGAGCTTACCAGAGCTACAGAAAGAGGAGGAGAAAGACCCCTCTCGTGGAGCATAGTCCTGCCTCAATCCCTTTCTTTTCTTGTTCTTACCTCCTGTCAGACGGGACGTTCATGCGGTCAGGGCATAGCTGATAAACTAACAGATGATTGTTGCTTCCCGGGTGTCTATAACATTTCTGACCATATTCATTCCCTATGTACTGCCTGTTAATTTCACCAACATTCTGGAGGTAACAAATATACATTAGGGGCTCCTCCAAGGTCCACACTACTTCTTATAATGCCAAGTGGATTTTACAGATTTACCTCCAACTTTAGGTTTTTTACAATGTTTGGTTATTGTCTGCATGTTTAGTAGATGACCCAAATGCTATTCATCTTGATACATTGACAGTGACAAAAAAAATTTTGATAACACATTATTACTCATTTTGGCATTCCCTTATAGGTTAAATCAGATCTGTACACTCCTTTTTTTTTTTTTCTTTTTTTTTTTTTTGGCTATAGAGTGTGTTCATTCACCGGAAAGAAAAAGACAGAGTGAGAAATCACCCCCGTCCAAGGGGATGGCCATGCCACAATCCCTTCTTCTCCATGCTCCTCTTGAGACTTTGGGCATGCACAACATGCCTGGTGTGAGCTTTAAGACACCGAGCCTGGGACCTGAACCGTGGTCAACCACACATGGGTCCAGCAATGTAACCATACACCATCTGCTGGCTCAATAAACTCATTTTTAAAGCTGAAATAAACTACTTGCTCACAAAACTTTGGGTACCATTAAAATGCCATACCTCATATCATACTCAGTAATCAGGGCATGTGTAACATACAATTCTAAACCTAAAAGAGGACTTTAGGGGGGGAAATCCGTCAAGAAACTCAACTGAAATGCCTAATATCATTACTTTGGAGCCTTAAAAACTCCGGAATTCTCCAAGTAGGAGACCTAGATTAACCCCTTTTGAAATAGTTTTTGGTCACCTTCTACCTACTTGCCATCTCTAAACTTTTCATTTCTGAATTGCACAGAACATTCCACACACTTGAAAAAACAATTCCATGTTATGACTAGTACTCTTGGAGTATATCATCAACAAGTAAAAACTGTGTGGCCTTCATTGGCAAGTCCTGCTATTCTTTTAGCCAAAAGATCACGCACACATGAAGAATTTTAAGAAAAAGCATGTAGTGTTATCTTGCCGGGAATTACCTTATGCAGTGCTGTTACCCACATATGCTGGAATAGCAAAAGAAAAATCTTGCTGGATTCACGTAGTTTGTATCAAGCCAGACCATCACCCACAGGATAATTTGGAGACTCTCCCTACAAGTGACCTCATAGTAAGGGTTTCAGAGCAAATTCTAAGGTTCTAGAAGCAGATGACATCACAAAGTAGACAGCTTGACCCAAGGTCACGAAACAGGAAATGCTTCTTCCACCTGATTTCCCCCTTCCAGTCCTCTACTCCCTAAGTAAAGGAGTTAAGTATTTTAAAACAAAACCTGCTCTTCCCCTCCATATATTGAAAAGTTGACTGGATATTAATATTACTTGTTTCAGTTTGCCCTGTGCTCTCTCTGATTTCTACTATGGGCTCTCTTTCAAACTGTCTCTCTCATAAACCTTAGCAAGTAGTGCCACATCTCCGTGAAAGAGAAGACTATGTAGACAGCCGGCACTTCACTACCACGTGTTCCTTTCAGTGTTGAGTAACTTCTTTCCAAGTTTTAGAATGTGTGATTTTAGAAAAGACAATCCAACATCTTTCCATGGAAGTAGAACAAGAATTCAATATCATGATGGAAATACTGAAAACTCTCCAATCAGAAGTTAGAAGTTTAGCTTCTGCCCAAACAAGGAGACACTTGTGCAAGGACTGGTAAAAAACGCTGCTCTTATATGAATCCGGTGGGACAAATAGCATCTAATTTATACCTTTTAACAAAAAAGATAAACAATCTCCATCAGATAAAGGAGCCTTGACCGTGTAATTGAACTGGCCAATTTTTAGTGCTGAGAGATTGGTTTAATGAGATATGGCGAAATGTGCTCAGATTTGTATTTTTTTGTTTATTTAATCTTGTTCTTATCTACATTTTTCTCTTTCTTAACAAATCTCTTACTGTTCATATACTAATCTGAATCTTTTCTTCACAGCCACCAATTCAGCTTTATTATGAGAAACATACTGGGAAGTTTCCGATGGGGATAATACAAGAGTTCAGACTATGCCACCCTAAAATATGCCCCTTTGAGGATCTCTGACCTCTCTTTCTACCTAAACCAAGACATAAAATTTCCCATCTGATAAGTGTCTTCTTACAGGAGGAAGAGACCTTTCCCATCACTGGAGTCTTAAAGTCAACACTGAAATTGATGTGTGGAAAAAAACAACAACAACATGGGAACCAGCAGTTAGTGTAATGGCTATGTCGCTGGACTCCCACGTAGTCGACCGCGGTTCGTGTCCCGGACCCGGTGGCTTAAAACTCACGCCGGGCGCGTGTGCGTGCGTGCCCAAGATCCCGAGAGGAGAATGGAGGAGAAGGGATTGCGGTGTGACCATCCTCCCTGGGGGGTGATTTCTCGCTTTCTGTCTCTATGTCTCTCTCTGTCTGTCTGGCGAGCGCACGCGCCCTACAGTGAAAATCTCTCCAAAAAAAAAAAAAAAAAAACTATTAAAATAACCCTTATCTTCCACTAGTTTCCCCCATATATTTCCCAGTCACTTTCCTGCACATTTCTGCCCCTAGAAACTTAAACTCCATTTTCTTCCTTTTTGTCCTTTATCTACAATTTATGATTCTTTTTAAAAATTGTGTATAGGTTCTTAGTCCTCTTTCTATAGGTTTTCATTTTCCCCTGAAGGTTACCCTGTGCACATAAAAATATTAAATAAAACCCATACACTTTTCTTCTGCTAATCTGACTTGTCAGTTCAATTTATAGCCCCTAGTACAGAAATTAAAGACTAGAGGAAAGTAGTGTTTCCTCAGTTACACCTGGCACGTAGAAAGTACCCAACGACTGGAAGTTCTTTCTGTTTTTATTATTATTATTATTTTGAAAGATTTTTAGGCATGTGCACTCGCCAGAGAGACAGAAAGTGAGAAATCACCCCCCAGAGGAGATGAATATGCTGCAATCTCCCAGAATTTGGGGCATGCATGCATACATACATGCCCTATAGCAAAAAAGTACTTATTTCCCCACACCGAAGATAAGACCGTATTATAATATTTTTTAAAGACTTTGCCAATGTGAATAATATGAAAATGATATCTCATTGTCGTTTTAATCATTCCTTTTATTTGAAAGAAATTGAGTCATTCATTCATATTTTCTTTGCTGTGATTTTCTGTTAATGCCCTTTTCCTAAGTTAGGTTTGAGTCATTTGTAATTGGTTTTGCATGAGAATTCTTTATGGATGAGGGGACCTGGCACTTAGTAACAAGTTTCAAATATGTCTTTCCAATTAGTGCTTTGATTTACAAAGTGTATTGTTGTATTATCACACAAAAGGCATGCTCATTTTGTTTTGTTTTTATAGTTATGTTTCTAAATCTTTTTAAAGTACATGGAACTTAGTTCGGATCTCCTTTAGCAGGGCCTAAGATGAGGTTTCATGTGCCAGTGATCTATTAAGAAAGTTTCTCAAGAAGAAACCCTCAGGAAACTGGGAGAAATTGGACAGGAAAGATGTGAAATTACAAGAAAGGTTGTAATTTCATATACAGGCCTGCAGGGGGCAACTGTGGTCTGATCATAGGAGGGATCTAATTAATGCTTGTGGTGGTGAAACCACAATAAATGGGAGAGAGAATGAAGGTGAACTCTGGGAAAAACAAATGCACAAGAGCAAAAGGGGCCTTAGCGGTTCTGCATGGGCACTGACAGTGTCCGTCAACAATGGGTGGGCAAGAGTCAACGAAAGGAAAGAGTAGAGAAGTTCAAACCCAGCATTTGAATTCAGTGTGGAACTCTTTCACCTTATGATTAATAGATTGGGTAAGAGAAGGAATTCACTCAGTCAGGACAATTTAGTACAACTCAACCTAGTCACAACAATTCGTCATGTATATTTTGTTTCCTTCTCTTCCTCACCTCTACCTAGGTTTTCATAGTCAGGCCTAAAGGTGACAAAGTCACTGAGAAAGCTGCTTTATGTTTCTGTAAGTTGAACTATAGCTATGGATCTTGAGAGTCTATGATAAGAGGGAATGTATTTAAAACGGGGCATTTGGTACTGCTTAAAGAATATACTCTAATCTCGTACTATTACTGATTTTTTTTTTGGGGGGGAGAGCTTTTCTCTATAGGGCACGTGACAGAGAGAGACAGAGAGACAGAAAGTGAGAAATCACCCCCCAGGGGGGATGGTCATGCCGCAATCCCTTCTCCTCCATTCTCCTCTCAGGATCTTGGACACGCACGCACACGCGCCCGGTGTGAGTTTTAAGCCACCAGGTCCGGGACGTGAACCGCGGTCGACTACGTGGGAGTCCAGCGACATAGCCATTACGCTAATTGCTGGTCCCCATCTTGTACTATTACTAATTAAAGACATCTTTGCCACATGTTTGGTGTAACTAGAGAATAGTCTCTGATTATATATATATATATACACACACACATATATAAAATTATGCATAATATATAATTATTATTATATTATATTATCAAGTATCAA